TCGGCAAATAATACAAACAAGTTTCATGGAAGGTTTATACACTACGTACAGAAGTTTTACTTCGCGAAGGTATTTAATAAAATGTAGGTATGCTTAATGTCATTAACAATATCGTGTAATTTAGCCTATCTCAAGAGTCAAGCACCATTTTGTTGACAAACGTCAGTGATCGGCACTGCGCCGAAGCTATAGATGACCCACGCTGAACTGTCCCACCAAACTCAATGACAGGGGGGCGCTACCATCGTTCAACTATATGGTTTCCAACATGGCAAAAATCTGAACCAGCGATCCGGTATTGACGGTGGCGCCCCACTGTCAATGTCATCGACAGGACAGTCCAGTATTTTGGAACTATATAGGGCTGACTTCGGTAAAATGAAGTGACGTTAGGTGCCAAACTGCGGAAAATGGCGGAGGAAATACATGATTTAGCATGAGTTATCATGAATAATATTAACTACTTATTTACCTCTCAGTGTCTTGAGGCAACTTAAAAAAGTACATTCTGTGTTTTTATTATTATTTAGGCAGTTAAATACTGCACAGTATTTAGTATACCATTTTCTTTATTTTCTTCCATCATACACAAGAATACGCGTGCGTGAGTCAATGTTCGCTCGTATGTGAGGCCTTGTCGAATAGTATCCTGTAGGTGGGCCATCGGGCGTGTTTTGTTTTCGATGTAAACTCGCAGAGATGGACAGGCCTGATGGTAGATAAGGTGGTGAAAATTTTGTACTATTGTAAACATTTCATGGGGCCCGCATGCGTATTACGAATCTTAGCAACAAGTCCAGTTGCTAGTTGCACAAATAACAAAGAGAGGGTGTGTTTGTAACGTCAAATGTCAGCGAGACTTCAGATGTGTTTCAGACTTGTATGCTTTGTCAAGTCATATGTCACCTCTCCCGTACCATTGGCACTGACTCAGCTATGTCATCATCATCAACAGGCCCTTTACAGTCCTTTACAGTCCACTGCTGGACTACGAGCCTCCTCCATTATAATGGAGGGTTTTGCCATAATCCCCACACTTGGCAGGCGGGTTGGAGATCGTAGTTTTTCAGAGAGCGCTGCTGCCCGATCTCTGTTTGATGTGTAGTCCCTAAGTCGCCTCTTACGATACCCGCGGGAAGAGTAGGGGTTGGTGACAAATGTATTCTAGTCTGCCGTCACCACTCAGCTATGTGTAACTGAGATAGAGATAGATCTGTAACTGAGGTTTGTGTCACAGGTACGGCCCCGAGGTTGACATCTGGGCTATCGGTTGCCTGTTCGCCGAAATGCTGACGGGCGACCCGCTGTTCCCTGGCGACTCGGACATCGACCAGCTCGCGCTTATCATCAAGACTGTTGGTGAGACTTCATTGACACTTAATTTATTTTGCAAAATTGGCACAGTTCACACTACGAGTGCCTATGGCCCCGTTCCCACTACGCTGGACCGGCAAACCTGCCGGACGGGTAAAAGGGCTAGTGGGTGTACAATTTTTATATGAAGCTATTGACATTGTCTCGGCATTTTTGCCAGGTTCGGCATTTTTCCTATTTTCTTGTGGGATCCGGCGTAATTTGAACACTATCCGGCGTCCGGTTTCCGGCAAATTTGCCGGTACAACGTAGTGGGAACCGGGCCTAACGCTCGGTTTTAAACACACAACTTGAAAAAAATCGAACTGCTTAAGGCGGGACTCGAACCCACCTTCCGCTTGCCGGGCGACTGCTCTTTCAACATTGGTAAAATAAAACGCGGCCATAACAGCGTATTACACTTGAAAATTTCGACGGGTTCATCCGGTGTCTAAGGCCCAGAACAGACGGTGAAACGCAACTGCAACGAAAATGCAACTGCTAGTTACTTTTGAGTTGCATCTAAGTTTCTGCCATAGCGTCCGTTGAGAAACCACACATGACGCGACCAGTTTGAAACTGAAACTGGTAGCTCAGTTGGAAGAGCAGTCGCCCGGCAAGTGGAAGGTCGTGGGTTCGAGTCCCGCCTTAGGCAGTTCGATTTTTTTAAGTTGTTTATTCAAAACTAGCTTTCCGCCCGCGGCTTCGCCCGCGTGCAATTTTGTCTATCACAGAAAAACTTTATCGCACGCGTCCCTGTTTCAAAAACCGGGATTAAATCTATCTTATGTCCTTTTCCGGGACTCAAACTATCTCTATGCCAAATTTCATCAAAATCGCTTCAGTGGTTTAGGCGTGAAAGCAATACAGACAGACAGATAGAGTTACTTTCGCATTTATAATTATTAAGTATAGATAGATTTAGTTTGAGAAGCGACTCTATTCGCTAAGAAGTTTTAATAAGTAACGCTCGGTGTCGGTGTGGGGCAGGCAAGCTGGCCCCGCGACACCAGCAGGTGGTAGCGCGGCTGGCTGGCGGCGCGGCGCTGGCGGCGGAGGCGCGGCGCGCGGCTCTGCCCGGCGTAGGCGCTGCGAGGGACCTGCTCGCCGCGTGTCTGCGCACGGAGCCGCGAGCGCGACCGCAGGCCGCCGCGTTGCTGAGGCACAAGTACGCGTGTTAAGGCAGGGCACTCACCTGCCATGTAGCACGTAACGTAGCATGTAACGTGTCCAACCTTTAAGTGAGTACGGCTCGTCCACGGTCATCGCATATCTGGCTGCGAGCTCCTAGATCCTACTGCGAGCCGCCTTTGTGCTCGCAGTGATACCGCCAGTCGGCGGGTCGCTACGGTCTCCCTGCGAACCACGCGCGAGCAGCTCGCAGCGGGCTCATGCCTATGTACTCACTTGATACAGTATTTGACATTACATGCTACATGGCTAGATATTCCTTCGGAATAGAGCAATAACCACGAGCTGTCAAACGAAACCGTTTTTGGATGACAATGGAATTTATACGTTGATTATTTCACTGTTTTGTACCAATTCAATCACTGAACTAGACACGTTTCTGAAGCGCTATTTCTCATAAACATCCACCATTTCACTCACGTAGAATCTGAAAAAATCTAACTCACATTCAGCCTGCCAATGAGTGCTAAAGAACTGTCAAATAATTGCAAAAACGGTTTTGTTTGACCTGACGGCGACGGCATCACGCATGTCTTTTTATCACACAGTGTTGCTGCTAGTGTCGTCTCGCTCGCTCAGTTCTTTGTTGATCTATTCCGCTAGGTATATAACTTTATGTTCCATTCATACTTTACATAATAGGGGACTCACCAGACCTTCGGCCATCCGTCCTGTCGCAGGGTGCCGGCACTCATGAATGGCTTGGCCTGACATTTTGAAACTCCTGAAATGGAACTTTTGACTGCATTAATACAAAGCAGCTCCTGGTAAAGAAGCGCCGCATATGATTTGTGTTATTTTCTCTTCATCGTCATGATTTCAGCCATAAGAAGTCGACTGCTGTACATAGGCCTCGCCCAATGATTTCCATATTAACCAGTTGGTAGCAGCAAACATTCATCGCCTTCCTGGCTACCTACATCGTCAGCCCACCGTGTGGGGACGTCCCTCACTGCACCCTATGTTTCCGACCGTGCGACAAGCATAGGAAAAATTTAGGAGCTGGTTTACGGACTAATCGGGTTATTGATTATATTCCTACGATGTTTGATAAGACTAAAACTTACAGATACTTCACTGTAGATGGCTTTGCGGAGAGCTTCAACGCGGAACTACGGAAGAAACTTGGCAAAGAGATTGAGGTATGTAGGTAATATTAAGTTAGCTTACAGTATAAAAAAAAATGGTTTCTTCCCGTGGATGTTGTAAAAGACGACTTAGGCCGACAATACACGGACAGCTCGAGCAGTAAGTGATCAACATACACGGACCGCTCTTGCAGTCAAGAGTCAACAGCTGCCAGTGATAACTGCTCAACAAATCACAAGCGCGCGCGTCGTGGAACAAAGAAAGTGGGCGGAGGTAACTGCGCGAGAGCTGTCGACAGCTCGAGCAGTCGGTGTATGGCTGGCGACTGCTTGACCGCATGGTGAAAATTCACCGTGCTGTCGACCGCTCGAATCAGTTGCAACTGCTCGAGCGGTTCGTGTATGTGCGTGCGTCCATAGAACTCTGCAGTTTACTGTGCAGTCGCAGCTTGAAGTTGTCGGATACTAGCTGCTTCAAGCTGTCCGTGTATGGCCCGATTCGACCAAACTTTTATTCGAGAATAACTCTTGGTATAACTGACACATTGACAGTTTCAGTATGGGAAATATGTTAAAACTGTCGATTTATTCTGAGATTAATGTTTACTCTTGTTTGGTCTAATCCACCCTATAGGACAAAAATGCGAATATCAGGCCTCCCCAAGCCATCGCGAGGAGTATAATATGCTGAATAAAATTTATCTCTGGTGCATTAGAGTTGGTGACAAAATCTGTATTGGAGGCTAAAACGACCTAATTGATGATTCTAAAGAATTTATCTCAATCAATATTATGGTTTATGAGATTTGTTCTGGTTTAATAATAATTTTTAAATCCGGGATTTTTGCTACGATTTCAGACCCCTCCTACACAACAAAGCGCGGCCCGCGTTGCGGGGAAACCGCGACAGCAATGGACTTTGAACATAATACCGGTAAGGTTTAAATTTCAGTGGCTTTAATCTAACCTTCGAATTCAAAGTAGGCATACCCGGATAGATACCATTTTACAAGTGTTTAATCCACTGCTTGCTTCAGTGAAACGCCGAGGCACTGCCCAATCAGGGCTACAGTATTAGTGCTTACTAACTGGCGTCAATTTATAGTAGAGTAGTTAGATACCTTATTTATTAAATGAATTGTAATAAAGATACTGTTTGCTCGCTAGTGGTTAAGACAGTAGCCTCAACTGATGAGCGCTAAAGCTGTAGGAGGTCTATTGCATTTACTTTCACTGGGTTGGCATCACTGTCGAGTAAGGTCTTGTCTCTCGCCAATGGTACCAACTGTATGGCACCATAACGATAGCCCCCATTGAGTACATTTATCAGGGATTTATTTAAAGGTATAAAATAAAAGCAATTTAATCATTGTGTAACATTTTAATGTCAAATTAGGCTCCTAGAAATATCCTTTACTAAATACATTTCAATGTAAGAATATCGTTTCGAAGACTAATCTGTGTTTAAGGTTTAATAGCCCAAGCGTAATGTGAAGGGTCTTGGTGGATGTTCCCGTTATGACCCCAAAGTTTTCGGTCACCCATGCTGTCAGCGGACACCTGCAACTTGAGACCTTGGCTGAATTGCCGGTTGATGATGTAGAAGAACATATACCCATCTATGACAACTGGCTCCAGGATCCAAATGTGCCTTTGTGTCCCATCGCCGCTAGACCCAAACGCTCCTCTGTCACCTATTTGATCTTCGTATATCTCTAACTTTAGAAACATATTATAGTCGATGTTCTTTATCTTGAAGAAGACTTGGTTGTTCTCCCAGACAGGAAGTAGTTTCCATTGTACTCGATCACTAGTCACGTCCTTTGAGTCGCCCCACGCAGTCCTGTCTCCGTCACCATCGATGTTAACACCCAGTTTCAACGCTTGACCGTACTCTTTCTGTACCAATGTCACATTATCGTCGAATATACGTTTGAATACTGTTGGCATATGGTTTTCAACGGCACGTCTTTCGTCACTAATCCATAGCTGGTAAACGTAACTCAGAAGGTTTCTGTTACCTTCCTGAGCAAGTTTTTCTACCACACTGGTAATGTATGCCGCATGGTTATTATCAATTATGTATTTGGTGGTTTTGACTGCGTGAGAGTACGACCCCTGTACGATGCTTTTGTATAGTTCTTGAGTAATTTCTGTACCGTTAAGATACGCGATATGAGCTGGTGTTGTGCTGTAAGAAGACATCGTGCTCTCCTGTTGTGATTGGACTCTGAAACAAGAATGTGTAAATTAATCATCATCATCATCATCAACAGCCCTTTACAGTCCACTGCTGGACTATGAGCCTCCTCCACTATAGTAGAGGGTTTTGCCATAATCCCCACGCTTGGCAGGCGGGTTGGAGATCGCAGTTTAAAAGATCCATGTTTGTCAGAGAGCGCTGCTGCCCGTTCTCCGTGTAAATTAATACGTACATTATATTACAGTAATATTTCTTTTTACAAATAATATTGTCAGCTACAATCTCAATTATTTTCATATAACTAATAACAATCTCAAGAAACACAAGTTGGTGTGGCGCAATTTCATAATAATTATTGTAAATTATTTTTCAAAGGGGTTATTCCCAAAAAATGTAAGTTCATACTTTGATTCCAAAGGCTATAAATAATTCTAATCAAATCATTTATTAATTGCAATAATAAGTATGAAATTGCGCAACCACCAGTTTGTGTTTCTTGAGATTATCAGTTTTAAGAAAACAATAAAAATTGTAGCTAGCAATATTAATACTAACCTCGAAAGGCTTCCACTTATATTAGTCTCTTTGTCAAATTTATATTTCAAAACTTGTAACATTTCTGCGTACATTTCAATGCCTTGAATCTGATCCAATGCAGTCCCCATCAAACTTGATTTCAAATAGTCAATTTTTTCCGATACTGACAATTCAGTATTTTTGTCAACTTTATCGTTGAAAACGGCCATAAATTCTGAGAAACCGCTGCTACCATCAAATTTAGGTACATCGATAGCTCGTTCAAGAGATTTAGTTTGTAATTTTTTTTCAGAATTGAGAATTTGCTTCCTTTTCAGTTTCAATTTTATTTCAGTGTAAAAGTCCTCTATGCTTTCTGTATTTTCATATTGGCATAAGAGTAAATCACTACATTGCACATACTTGACAAAATTCATGTCGAGCAAATCTACTTTGATTTCCAACAAAACGTTGTCAGCTTCATTAAAATCTGAGCTTTTAGTGAATTCGCTAATTTTGTAAATTAAGTCTTTGGCAGAACGTTGAAGTTCCAAGTATCTATGTTTGTCTAAACTGTTGCCCTGAAGTAATTTTACGTGGGACATTTTGGTTATTGAGAATATTATATTGGTTAAAAATTTAAGACTTACCAACAATACTGTGAAACAGAATGGTGAAAAAACCGAAAACGTAACTTATTTATACTAAATTATTTCACATTTATCGCCTTGTGGTTAAACTATTTTTCCAGAAAATGCATGGGAACAATATTTGAAGCAAAATATTTTTTTGTGGCAAACCACAAAATAGTGTAGACGATATCACATCATATCAAAATTGTTATCGAAACTACCTAGGACGGGAAAAATATTTAGTTATAGATCTTTGTTATTAAGTTTTAATGCTGCAAAAAATGTATTTATTATAAAGGCATCAATATAGGCAATCGAAATCACGTTTGTGTTCTATAAATTATAATAATATGTTCTTTTCAGGGCACTTCAGTACGGCTAGCACGAAAAACTTTCGAGTTCAAATCGTTTGCGTACTCGAATCGCCATCAAAAGATTTAGTAAGAAAACTACAACAGCGCCCTTGTGAACGTGTCGTAAAGTGAACTTAATATGAGATGTGGTTGCACGAAACTTATTTTGAGAATCAAAATTGTCACGTTATTGTTTAATTCGAAGACTGAGTATCGAATTTTATCGAGTACGCAAACGATTCGAAGACGAAAGTTGTTCATGCTAGAGGTACAGGTCCCAAATATCAGTGTAAGCTATAATCGGGTCCTGAAGTGCCCCACTTTGGAAAAACACAGGAAAAACATATCAGCTGGAGCTAAGAAGTGGTGGATGAAAGTCAACCTTTGTTTATTAAAAGAAACACAATTAGCAAGTTTTTCTGATCCTTACTAAATGGATACAACATTGATTTATTGAATGCCTTAGCTTAGTATATTTTTGGAAAATCCTAAGAACGTAACCGTGTGGTTTGCTAATTAGTTAGGCATTGCTAAAAAACAATGTTGGGACTTGATTTGTCGTAATTTATATTGAACCCTTTTTGGCACCAAAATACACCATTTTTTTATCTGATGTTATTGTATTTTTGTGTATTTTTTTGTTTCTTTCTTTAAAATGTCTCGGTTTGACGGTCTCCTTCTGGCTGGGTTAGAACTATCGTATCTTATCTTCTTAAATAGAGAGTATACTATTCAAGAGATGATTTTTGTATTTAATTAATTAAGTAATCCTAAAGAAATAAATATTTATTTTGCATAGGATCACAGTCGATCACGGACGGACAGCATCGCTGGAGAATCGCTAATCGATTACAATTATACGCCAAGTAAGTAAAATACCGTAAAATAATGCAAATATTATAGCCTGACGAGAAACGCTAATTGCCTTTTATAGTGCAATAGGTACTGTCTTTATACCTGTGTTTATTTAATTATGACACATTCTGTGCGCGCCGCGGTAAACGGTTATCACGCCATTTTATCGATTTTTCCCATACATTTTGACGTCGATAAAAGTTATCACGGCGCGCATCTTAGGCCTACTGGTCTGATTATAGAAGACATAACTGGAAGGCGCTGGACGCAAGCCGCTACCAAATACCAATCGATCAACATGGAAATCATTGGGGGAGGCCTAAAATGTCTGTCTGTACCTATTTAACGTTTGACGTAGAGTTCAAATGATTTGATGGTTTCCACTTTGTTATTGTCTTTTTTTTTTTTTTTTTTATCCACAACGAGGAAGCTCTTGGCCTGCATCTCACCTGATGGTAAGTGATGATCAGGCCGAAGGTGGAAGCGAGCTTCACTCGGAATCCTCAACCACAGAGGAACTGGCTATCTTACCTCTAACTGCCGGAACACAACAATGCTGTTAACATTGTTGTTATGGCGACAGACTTAGGTAAGATGGTGGTAGCTAGCCAGGTGGACTTGGAACAAGCCCTACCACCAACCAAACCGAACAGAAAATTCTGCCCCCACTGGGAATCGAACCCGGGACCTCTGCGTCTGAAGCAGGTGGTCTAACCACTAGACCACAGAGGCGGTTAAATGTCATAATTATTATCTTGTTTTCAGCTTCAGAGATGCACCCAGAGCCAGTGGAAGTAAAACCCGCCGTTGAACAGTCCGCAGCGCCGGCGCAGGACTCCAGCGAAGTACGTACAACCCAATCGAGCTAACTGCGCACCTCGTTGGAATGCAGTCCGTACGTCTTTTTCACGTAAGATGATCCGTATGACACTTCAAGGTTATCCATATTACGCATACTACTTATGCAGAATATTTTTGAAAAAATATTTGTATTTTATTAGCAATATAATAAAAAAAAAATATACTACTTGTCTTGAAATATATAGTAAAATCGGAGTCTATTGATTATATTTTAATTAAATACGATATAAAAATATTTTTTATATAATGTACGCAATGTGTGAAACGGAATAGATTTAGTGCTGGGGTATTTCTTGTATAATAAAATCGATTATTTCCGCGGTTCATTAATCGATTGCAGTGTATACTTAGTTATTAAAAACATCACAAAAATCAACTATATTTTTCGATTATTTACTTTTAATAAACGCATTGTGGAAAACCTTGGGGGAGGCCTTTGTCCAGCAGTGGACGTCATTTGGCTGAAACAACAAACGCATTGAAAATAAATTAATAGTTTTTAATTTAAAGAAACAGAATCAGTACTTTTTAGGAATCGTTTTTTTAAACACGAACCATGAAATTTGAATATTATCAATAAAAAATTGTTACAATAATATTTGTAATTAAAAAAACATGTTTTTTGTTAAATAACACCTATACAAAACAATTCTCTAAAAGTAGGTTTTACTAACTCTTCGAAAAAAATCGATAGATAAATCGCTATCGTTTAGTTATGTGACATCTCTAAATCTTTCAAACTCGAAACGTCATACGGATCATCTTAGGTGAAAAAGACTATAGTGTCGATGTGACGTCACGGTGCGCAGTTAACTTGACCGGCTTGAAACAATGCTGCCATTGCATTTTTCATTGCAAAGCTGTCATTACCTTAGCCTGCCTACTCGATGGACCGACGACCGAAGACTAGATGGCAGCGATTGGTAAAATTTTTTTTTAGATTTTTATCAACTAAGACTTTCAGGATCAGTAACCAGTTTTTTGATATCTTGTAAGTAGTTTAGAAATAATAGAGTGAGATCACTTGTCGTTTCCACCCTGTGTGATTATTCATTCATATTAATTCAACATAATCTCCCATCAAATTAAATTTGGTTGTTATCGAGTATACACTCTACTTCTTTGTCGCAATTGTCCGCTTTGCAATGGAGGGAAGGCGAACCTTAACTTCGAACTCCTATGTTCTTCTGATTAATTTCATTGCGGGTCCAATGACAGTTTAACTTTCCCCCGGGACAAACTTGACCTTCACTTGTTGGGTTTTTATTGGCGGTCAAGCTGTAGATCCTGGCTACACAGGAGTTGCAGCGGTGGGAACGAGAGGTGGGAATGGTGACTTAGGTGACATTTTATCCGAGAAAATCTGATCCGCAGATGAGTTGTCTCCCTTTCAAATTTGTTAGGTGTGGAATCATCCGCAAAATATTTATCTTCGTATGAAACGTCACCGTTTCTAACTTGGAAGATAGATCTAATTTAATTTAATTCATATATTTCGGATGAGACAACACTTCCAAGTTAGAAAAGGTGACCTTTCATGCGAAGATTTTGATCATTTTGCGGATGGATCGACACCTAACAAATTTGAAAGGGCGACAACTCATCCGCGGATGAGGTTTTTTCGGATGAAATGTCTCCTAAGTCGGAATGGGAATGGTCCCGTACTTCTGTGTCGGTTAAGAATTTATTTATTTTATTAAATTCAGGTGCGATCAGTCGCCGGGGCCTCGCTGCCGGCGCGTGCGCCGCCTCTCAGGTCCCTTTCGAGGGCTATCAACGACACCTTCCAGGTTATCTCTTTGTGTTTTATTTTCTCTATTTTTTTGCCCGCAGAAGTCTGTCAATTATGATTTCAGAATTTTTTTTTTCTGTACTGAATACTGAAGCACTGATTTTCGCATTACAGACGTTTCCTGTCCCAGTAAATAGTTATCCAAGAACACCCTATATCAAAAAGTAAGTTCAACTATTTAATTGATATTAGTCATATCAGTACATATTTGTAATAAGCTTATAGCGGACAGACGCTCGGGCGTGCGGAAAAAAGAAAATACCTTCGGTTTAAAATAAAGATGTATTTCTGCGTTAAATGCCCAGACGGCTATCAAAAAACATACTTGAAAACTAAAAACAAAAGATATAAAAAAAAATTAAAAAGTATAAAAACATAGACAAAAATATCAAAAGAGGTTGGTCCACCTACCGGTTCCCAACAAAGCTACTGATATCAGGTTAAAAATTAAAATCAAAGACCAGTAACTAATCGTACCATGCGGCTTAGGAGCGGCCAACGAATCCTACGATATGTATTTTGTCTATTTTTCAGAGTGAACAATAAATTGGTGATGGATGAGGATTTGCTCCGTGGGAGGGCTGTCGCCAAAAAAGCCAGCAAAAAAACGCCACCAGAGCTGTCGCTGCCCTATGTCCCTGGTGGTAAGATCGGTCACATTTATCAGACTAATGCCCGTTTTCACCATCAATCCCTAATTTTTAAGTGACCAGTTAAAAATTAGGGATTGATGGTGAAAACGGGGTCGGCCGATAGTTGGGTCGGGCTGAATGAATATGGACATGTATGAAAGTGCGCACATTGGTATCGCTCCTTCATACAAATTAGAATCGGGCCCAACTATCGGCTGACTAAATGTCTGCAGTCTGCGGTGAGTCAAATACAATTTTAATAAGATTTGGCACAAAATAAACCACATTTTACTTCTTGCAGCGAGCAACAGCCCCATGAAAAAGGCTAAGAAACCACATGTGCATCACACTGTGACTAAATCCTTCGACCCGTGGGAGTCGGTAAGTCATCTTATTAATGTCTCCACAGACTACGGACTTTTCGTTGAGTCGGGATGTTAGTCAGTATAGTTCCAAAATACTGAACTGTCTATGAATAATTTTCGTATTATTACTCCATTTTCTTCCATAAACTTTACATTTTTAGCAAATTTCAATATTTAATTACTACGTGTGATATATCATTGGAAAGAAGAGAAGGTAGAGATATTTTTAAGATCATTGGCAATCCATTATCACTATTAGTTTTTTTAAAATCGAATTCGATCTTGGATTTTTATCGTGGTTCGTACTTTTGTTGAACTTTGGCGGCTCGTAACTAGTTATTCAATCATTATCTGGATCTGTAATTTATTTTATTTGACTAAAGGCTTATTCGATATTAGTATCAAATAAAAAAATCGGTTAAAATCATGCGAGAAAAAAAAAATCAGTTTTTAGGTCAATGTTCGGAAACATCTGAAAAAAGTATAAAAATTGACATAATTATCTCCTATGTCTATAAAACTTTAGGTATAGAAAGTAAGGTTCAATAATTAGCAAATGACCTCCTCTATACGCATATTAGCTATGGCGGGTTCAGTTCCAGTCACCCTGTATATGATGGAACATAACAAACACAAGCGGTCAAACAAAACTGATTTTGGATGACACTGGACTGGATCAGTTGTCAGAATTATTTCACTATTTTATAAATAATAGGGATACTTAAGACCAGTGGCGGGCGGCGTAAGGCGTAGGCGACGTGGGCCACCGCCTACGGCCTCGCGGTACAAGGGGCCTCGCGCATCAAAAATTTTGAAAAAATGTATACAAGGTGGAGATGACAATATCACAATCTATACAANAAAGAAGAACGGTCATCTGTGACCCAGGCCCGACAGAAACGAGACATACCTCAGTTTTTTTGTCATGTCTTAATTAGTTAAATTATATATTTTTTATATTCGAAATCTATGTATAACACCAAAATATTACCCTTTGTTTTTGTTTAGGCGTTATACAAAAACTAATACAAAATGCCTATTTATCACCAAAATTGGTAAATGTATGTACCTAAATGTCTATTACAGCTGCTATGGAATGTATCTAGGTGACCCGGATTATACAGAGTGGAAAAAATAATAAGTTACAAAATCCAAAAATTCAATGTTACCAGCTTCCATAATCTGTACCCTATTATTGGTACCATTTGAAAGAGCTCGTGAAGCACTTTCAGAATCAGTAACTAGTTTTTCGATATCTTGTATAGTTTAGAAATAATCGAGTGAGATCACTTATCGTTCCATATGTATAACCACCCTGTATAATCCGGTTGTATCTCCAAGTCACCTAGATACATTCCATAGCAGCTGTAATAGACATTTAGGTACATACATTTACCAATTTTGGTGATAAATAAGCATTTAGTATTAGTTTTTGTATAACGCCTAAACAAAAACAAAGGGTAAATTTTTGGTGTTATACATAGATTTCGAATATAAAAAATATATAATTTAACTAATTAAGACATGACAAAAAAACTGAGGTATGTCTCGTTTCTGTCGGGTCTGGGTTTTTTTTGTATGGGGCGTGACCGTTCTTCTTTATCAAATAACCAAAAAAACACGAATTTTTAAGCGGATTTTTTTTAAAAAGTATATTTTTTTATTATTTGTTGGCCTTTTTTGTATATTTTATGTATTTTTTTAGTATCGCCTGTTATTTAGCATTATTACTGTTTTTATTTTATCAGGATATACCGCTTAGTTTAAAAGTTATTACGTTTTCTTTACAATAAGTAATTTGAAGAAAAAAAATTCTATAAAAAATTAAAAAAAAAACTCAAAAATTTTTTGACCTCTTTTTTGTCGATAAAAATAGGTCTAGTTTCATCTATTTTCATATGTACACTTTAACGTGACTCACACTGTATAAAAGAAAGTCGTGTTAGTTACTTCGCTTAAATAACTCAAGAACGGCTGAACCGATTTAGCTGAAAATTGTCAGGGAGGTAGTTTAGAGCCAGGAGAAGGACATAGGATACTTTTTATCCCGTTCGAAATTAAAAAAAAAGTCTGCTTATTTATTGCCATTAAGGCGGAACAAAGTTCGCCGGGTCAGCTAGTACGACAATAAATGCAAACATTGACTATTAAATATAAATTATTGATAGCTAAACAATGTAGTTAAAAATAAAAATATATTTTTTTCCAAACAAATTCAGTCATAATCAGACTCAAAATTAAGTCTAAAACGAACTTTTTTATTAAGTTCTTTGGCGCAATATTCCTTTAAAAATAATCACTAAATCAAGAAATCAGAAACTGTCAATGAATAGACCATTAACCCGTTTTTTTTTATTATTTCATAAAATCCGTCTTCAGGTCGCCACAGAACAAGGCCTCGCGAAATCTGTCTTGCCCACATCAAATTTAGGTCTTGCCCCGCCACTGCTTAAGACCGCCTAGTTGTACCTTGTGTATTCCTTTTCTTTGTGTTCTGTTCTTTGGTGTGCAATAAAGAGTATTTATTATTATTATTATTACAAATTAATTACTGTACCAGTCACCACATGTTTGAAGCACATTTTTCATAAACATCCACGATTTCACTAACGTAAAATCTGAAAAAATCTTAGAGCTCAAATTTTCAGCGTGCCAATGAGTTGTAACGAACTGTCAAATAGTTGCAAAAAACGGTTCTGATACATCTCTTTTTAACACACAGTGTTGCTGTTAGTGACATTTCGCTCGCTCAGTCTTTTGTTGCTCTACTCCGCTAGGTATATGAACTTTGTTCGTCACTTAATGCAGGGTGTATTGTTTTATTATCCACAGCAACGCAACATCACGGAATTGACGTCGGGCGCCAGAACCCCGACCAACCTGCCCTATATGTGACGGCACGACCGCGGCGCGTTTCGGGCCGCTGTTTAGCGGTAATACAAATTACCATACATTCAAATTAAGTAGTTGAAACCATTCAATAATTCTAAGTCACAACTGCTCCAGAACATTTTATTACAACCCTGCAAACCTAATTGGTTGTCAATTAACAACGAAATTTTATTTTTAGCTACCTAATCTATTTTAGACATGGATTTGCTCATGTAAAAGGTATTCGGTACGCGCCTTAATTTATTAAATTTACTTATTAGCGTTCTACCAATCCGCCTTAATATCACTTAGGAAACCATTGTTATTTTTCTGGTTAAAAACTATGGAATATCAACACGAATCCGAACTATTTCATGCAGAATACAAATCGTATTGAAACTACACTTAGCCTAGGCGCGACCATCGATTTTTCGTCGGCCGATTGTTTAGTCGTGCAGTTGATCAGTATGGGCATGTATGGAAGTGCGCACATTACACCGATTTGATTTGGCCGATTCTTCATACAATTTAAAATCGGGCACAACTATCGGCCAACCAAAAATCGATGGTGTGCGCCTAGGCTTAGGCTGAGTTGTACTACCTAACTTTGACCGTAACTATAACGATAACCGGTGTTTTTGTATGGAGTTTGACAGATTTTTGACGTTTGTCAAAGTCAAAGTAAGATGGCGCAACCCAGCCTTTAAGATCTTTATGTAATTAATTTGTATAAATGACACACCCCGTGCCCAATGAAGTCTACACACCAAACCCGCCGACCCCGCGCACAAGAGTCGTCGACTTTTGAAGTTTTGTCAAAAGTTATAAAAAGTACACTTTTGAAATAAAGCCGCCGACACCTGAAAGGCTTGGTGTGCAGAGTCCTTTAGGTTGTCAAAGTCTTTTAACTAGGACATATTATATATACCACATAATATGTCAATCAATGATTACAGTCGATTTTAAATTAGTTTTTATATAATGTAGTCTAATTAAATAAACAGTTAGCAGAAACAACGAATATTTCCATTTGACTGAATTAAATATTATGAAAAGTAAATTTATTAATTAGAAAAGTATGTATTTAGTATGTAACATATCTAAAGACTGTATAGACTATATAAAAAGTTTTATATTGTATTTTCTTTCGTATTTATCGAATACCTACTGGCTAAGGGCGGTTTCTCGCCGATGCAAACGGTTCCAAAATCTGGTCAACATTTCCTAAATCTGGTCAATATTTCCAAAATCTGGTCAATATTTCCTAAATAATTACATATGGTATAATATTTCTGTTTATTGTATCTCAAATTTCTATTGTATGGTCACACATTATGGTCTGTAGCAAAATTTCACAAAATGAGTTTTTTTTTATTCTTATTAATTAATATTGATACTCTATCGTTATTCAGAATTGTGCAGAGACATGGTGGTTTCATTAATGTGTAAATATGTATAGTGTTAAATTTTAATAAACAACTATTTAATACATATTGAACTCATTTACAAACTACTTTAACTCCCTTGGAATGGAAATTCCATACTAAGGCTGAGTTGCACCTTGCACCACCTTATGGTTCCTAACCATTTATGGTTTTTAGTCACGGTTAAAATAAAGTGGTGCTATAACCGATGTGTTTTGTATGAGGTTTCCGAGACTTTTGACAAAATCTTTTGACGTTTGTTAAAGTTAAAGTAAGATGGTGCAACCCAGCCTAAATGTCAATTTAAACTAGAGATCAACTCAAGTTTATCTTTTTGTAATAAGGGGGGATATTAGTCGTTAGAAAAGCTATACAAGTATACGGTCATTTAATCGAATAGTTTGAATTTATTTATTGAAAAAGATACACGAACGACATATACTTAATATAATTTATCAAAAATTCGGTTTCGTGGTCAAAAGTCAATTATTTCAATGTTTACAAGTCTCATCCCATATTAAAAGGGATGGATGGATGTTGGATCGGATGATAATAATCTACACTAATATTATAAAGAGGAAAACTTTGTTTGTTTGGTTGTAATGTATTCATTGCTCAAAAACTACTGGACCGTTTTTAAAAATTCTTTTACCATTCGAAAGCTACATTATCCACGAGTAACATAGGCTAAATTTTATTTTGGAAAAAAATAGGGTTCAGGGGTCCACGCGCGCGAAGCCGCGGGCGGAAAGCTAGTAACAAATACAATGGTAAGTGGTATATGTATTACCTAGTATTATATTATCTGTGGTATTACTATACAAAGAATACAGATTTACTTCGCTTCTTTGATGTACCAACCGAAGTGGCCAGGGTTATTGTGGACGTCTGCGTTATGGCCCCACAGCGCCCGGTCTCCCATGGAGTCCTGGCGCACGGCTAGCTTGAGCCCCAGCTGGTACTTGTTGCTGACAACAAAGAACATCAGCTTACCGTTAAGCATCACAGGGTCCAGGCACCAGGTATGATGCTCATCGTCACAGCCATACGAGCCCCACGCCTCTCTATCGTGTATGCCATCCTCATACTTTGCCAACTTCAGGAACATCCCAAACTCCACATTCAACAACTTGAACAATACCCTATTGCCTCTCCAAACCGGCATGATCTTCCAGTTTACTCTCTTGCCTTGTTGTTCGTCGTTAGCACCCCAGCCTCTTCTGTCCCTGTCGGAGTCCAAAGCCACCGCCAATTTTAAAGCCTGATCAAACCTGTTGTTCCAAATCATCACATTCTCCTCATTCATGATCAACTTGAATTCTAAGGGGAAATATTTAGAGACGATCCTTTGAGTATCGCCATTCCACAGTTTATATGCAAAGCTCATGACTTGGCTGTTTCCCTCATGGAGAAGATCGTTTACGACTTCGCGGATGCTATTGGCGTGACTGCTGACCGCAAATGCCTTACTGATATCCACAGCTTGCTCGTAGTTGGCATTTTTAATACTGGATAGAAGGGTCAATTTCAACGCAGTATTATTGGCAATAGAGCTAAAGAGAGTTACTTCTTGTAGCGTATCAGGCAATACGTATCCGTCACATCGAATCAGGTGCTTCTTTGCCAGATCCGTATTGAGGTTTTTTATATCTGCCGAGGTATCTTCGAATCCGAAGACGATCACTTTTCCTTGATCTTCGTTGATCATTCTAGCGATGTCTTTGGAGCAGCTGTTATTGATGGGGGCGCCCATGAGAGTGACGGTTTTGACGGAGTCGTCTTTTATGTAGCTACTGCTGTCACAATGGGTGTAGCTCTGGACTGGTACTCTGTTGGGGATCTTCCTGCCCTTGTCGGCTCCGTTGCTGACGCATTGTGAAGGATGGTTCACGTTGTAGCAGTCTGGGAACCCGCTTGCTCCACATTGTTCATCGATTCTCCCTTCACCCCAGTAGTCGACCAATTCTAATAAATCGGACCCCTGTGGGATCTTAACTAGTTTATATTTGCCGATGTACGGCACTTCAGAGTAAGGGTAGATTTTGTCCACATTGACTCCGTAGTTTGGGGAAGGTGCTACTTCCCATTTAGATGCTGCCATTTTCTTCAGATGTTCTGATCTGAAAATTAATAGGAGTAGTTTATATGTGACTAGCTTTTGCCTGTGGCTTCACCCGCGTGAAATTTAGTTTGACACATAATAAATTATAGCATATTATGTATATGTTAATCTGGGTTATAAACAACGTAAAGTTGTACAACAAAGTAAAGTTTTATCAAAACACGTTCAGTTGTAAAAGAATAACAAACATGTTAACATCCCAATATGGAATACTTTTATGATTGGAATTTTTACACTTACATTTTTTTTAAAATAAATTAGAACTACGAAAATTTAAAGCAAAGGGTGACTGTATACAGGGTGTTTGGTGGAAGGTTAGACAAACTTTGTGGATGTATAGGTAAGGTCATTTAAGAATACAAGTTCGCTCATTTGACTAAGTGAGCTACTTTTTTTTAATAGAACTGACGAATTTTATTTCAATATCTAATTGCTACATATTGTGATATCATTGGAAAGAAGAGAAGCTAGAGATATTTTTAAGATCATTGACAATCCATTATCACCATTCATTTTTTTTAATCTAATTCTAAGTTGAATTTTTTATCGTGGTTTGTACTTTTGTTTAACTTTGGCAGCTCGTAACTAGCTATCCAATCATTATCTGGATCAGAAAAGACAATGCCGGAAATTGGCGTCTTTTTTTTTTCGCGCGGCCATCGACCAAACTTTGTTTATTGATTACAAAATAGTGTAATAAACCAAACTTAGTATGACATGTATACCTCTAAACTCAGTCTGAACTGAGTTACGAGCATCAGAAGTTTGATGATTTTCATACTAGATTTGCTGTTTGGGCGTAAGTTTTGTAAGAAATTGCAACAAAATAATGACATTGTGTGTGTAAACAAACAATACCATCCATTAAAGGCTCCAGACATCAGTATGCAGCAGAATCAGCGCAATAAAAAAATAGCGCAATATTTTGTTGCAATTTCTTACAAAACTTGCGCGCAAAAAGCAAATCTAGTATGAAAATTATTAAACTTCTAATGCTCGTAACTCAGTTCAGACTGAGTTTAGAGGTATACATGCCATAGTAAGTTTGGTTTATTACACTATTTTGTAATCAAAAAACAAAGTTTGGTCGATGGCCGCGCGAAAAAAAAAAGACGCCACCTTCCATACAAAATCTGGCATTGCCATTTATTTTATTTGACTAAATACATATTCGATATACATATCAAATAAAAAAATCGTTTGAAATCTCACGAGAAAAAAAAGCAGTTTTAAGGTCAAATTACAGAAAAAAATAATTAAAAACAAAAATATCAATTAAAAAAAGTTGCTCACTAAGCCAAATGGGCGAACTTGTGTTCTTAAAATGACCTTACTTATATACCCACAAAGTTTGTCTAACCTTCCGCCAAACACCCTGTATAATATGATTGTAATCTAAAGTTATATTACTTGCCGTTCCAACTGTTTAACACTGTTTAATTCGTCTAAAATGTGTGTGCTTTTATATACGTATAGTTCCCTTATTTTCGCACGAATGTAAAAATATGATATCTTATCGCTAAAAACCACAAAAACGTTCTACCGTAAATATGGAATAAAAAACATTTTGTGGATGTGGTTTACGTAACTTAAAAAAATGTTTTTTTGATTCGTCGTACCTTTTTTTTAAATTGAATTTAGCAAATTCATAGCGTGCTTATCGGTGACCTGCCGTCAGTTTCGAGCCTATGGTAGGCCTTTTTGGAGTCAAAATTCTATTGCTTATATCTTAGACGAACTTCCACTTGCTAACAGCTATCCTACGAACATTTTCTGAGCTCTTGCTGGACGTCAATACCAGTCAAATGACGATTTCATAGAGAGGTTGACATGAAAAAACGGTCATCCCTCTTCGATGTGCACCGGCGCTGTACAGAAATTGGTCTCGGGATAAAGCCACCAGTCTCCCGAAACCGTCTTAAGGCTTGGTATTTCTGCTAAAGTAGGCATTTCGCGCTGTCAAAATCTGCGCGCGCAATTCTTCGCCGAAGACAGCGCGCCAAAGAGCTCCCGCCACAATTTCCAGCTACATAGTATAGAAATACGCAGTTGGTTAGGTTAGGTCGACTTCCTTCCCTTCAAGCGTCACACTCACAACACTTTCTAATACAAATCATATCCAAGTGATACAAATTAAAACACCTTACAGACTTTTTGGGAATATATTCTAGAATCGAATAAATATGAAATATAACTGCAGAAGTAAACACGGTTCAAAGTGGCCGTGGCGTCGCCTGACCTTCTGGAAGTTCTGCGCCGGCTTAAAGAATTTCAAGATTACGTCACCCGACCTATCGGTAGGCCCTTGGAAGCTTGAGCGACTGGAAAAACATTTTATGATAAGTTACTCTTAGTAGCGATTATTTAGAGCTTGGATAATAAATTATAGTTGTTGCAATTCACGAAGCTTTGCATGTGGTTAATAACATTAATCAGTACACGCATTAATTTTGTTCAGTCTCTTTGTTTATTAATAAATAAAAATATCATACTAAAATTGCAGAAACATATTTGTTTGTATTGGTCTGGGTGTTTTCTTTCTATAATATGTATGACGTATGTACGGGGTTCTGTATCGAAAATTACTATGAGCATCACACGCGGTTACCTGCTTACCTCTGTGCACTCATGGGAGTTTAAGCAGAGGTCCCTAGAGTTTGACTTTGAGCTTTGTTTATAGTCATTACGAAGCAGACTGATGGGAAACTGCACTGTCTTGAATTCGAAAGGGCAATTTGACGGTGTTAGGGGAATTCTAGGAATAAATACAGAGTCTCCTCATTGAGATTGAGACATTTCAATTTGAGATTTCACTTGACATTGAACACAATCTGACATGGAGTTTTCAAACACTTGTAAAAATAAAAAGTAATTAAATCAAAGGCACTAAGTAGTATTGATATCAACTTCGAAGAAAATGACTGCCAAAACTTTCCCTCCGCAACCTTATTGGTATTCCATGTATGTGTCTTTTAACTGATTTCTGTTAAACATTTCATGTAAAATTTGTCCAGTTATAACTCTATTTACATCTGCATCTGTAAGCAAGGATTCATGTTCTCCAGCCCAGATGCCGAGTACAGAATCGTCTTTCAGTGACGTGCAGCTGCCCCTATATTTGACCTAATTTTTATTATTTATTTGTGTCATTGTGCTCTTCTAAAGAGTGTAAGACGATTATATGTAGGTAGGTACTATAAAAATGTAATTTTAACTCATTGGTTTTGTCTCATATTTGAGGAATGTACTATGTATCATGAGTAGGGTCTTAGTTTAAAAGGATGTCAACGATTTAAATTTCAATAGGTAGACAAAATTCATAATTCTTAATTATCAAAAATTTTAGCTTTCTCCAGTAACACTGATGTTATTATACTGTGACTCATCAAAGTCATCATTGTCAAAAATATTGACAAATCGCGAACTGTCACGACCAAAAAACTGACACGCGTCCGTCCTCCGAGATTGTCCAAGCCGTTCGGGCGATTTTTTCCACATTTTTTAACATAGTAACTAAATAAGAGCCAATATAAAAATTTCATCCGTTAAAAGCCCTCAAGTTATTTCTGAACTTTAGTTTAGTAAAAGATTCAGAATCTCAAATCGCTTATTTAAAAAATAAAACCATAAATAGAAAACGACAACGATTTAAATTTCAATAGGTAGACAAAATTCATAATTCTTAATTATCAAAAATTTTAGCTTTCTCCAGTAACACTGATGTTATTATACTGTGACTCATCAAAGTCATCATTGTCAAAAATATTGACAAATCGCGAACTGTCACGACCAAAAAACTGACACGCGTCCGTCCTCCGAGATTGTCCAAGCCGTTCGGGCGATTTTTTCCACATTTTTTAACATAGTAACTAAATAAGAGCCAATATAAAAATTTCATCCGTTAAAAGCCCTCAAGTTATTTCTGAACTTTAGTTTAGTAAAAGATTTAGAATCTCAAATCGCTTATTTAAAAAATAAAACCATAAATAGAAAACGAATAGAGGTAACTTTGGGAATTTATTCTATCGAGTCAACTTCATCAAATCGTGTTTCCATCCGTTAATAGCCCTAGAAAATATCCTCAACTATGCCCAAATAAAATCTTAGCCTTTAATTTTACTGTTTAGTACCTCAAAAATGAAAAATGAAAACCTCATTTTCGCCATTTTCACTGCTACCCGGCCTTAAAACTTTCGAAACCCAGGACTGGCTTATGTGGAGCTGACATGCGACAGCCCGCTGGCTAAGCCCTTCTTGCAATAGTGCAACGATTTGTGATGCTTCTGAAGGTGTAGAATCAACTAGAATCCCAGGTAAAGTGTCAAAAGAAGCGAAGATGTGTATAGATTAACGTGTTAAAAATCCGAAAACACGTGCTTTTATAGGGGGTAATTAGGCTGCAACTCGCGAAGTATCAAACAGATGATATGTTTTTTTCCTTACTTCTTCACATCAGCCGTGATATCTTTTTAAATGCTGGTGTCATTTAAATGAATTTGGTATCAATTTAAAGTTAAAAGTTTAATCTTTAAAATGGTGTCACTTTTTTGTTACTAACAAATTCGTTAGTACACAAGATCGCGTGGAAACAACTTCATGTTAGTGATTCCATACTTTTGCTCGCAAGTGTACATAACAATAATTAAAATATTATGTGAGGTCATCCAAAATATAGTTTCGTATTCTTTCTTGACCTGCAACTGAACCTGGGACCTACAAATTATTATATTCAACGGGGAAAAAGGGCGGTAAAAAAAAACATAACCTTATTTTTTAATTGGCAGTTTATTATTGACTACGGTATACAAATTGAGGACTCAATACTAGAACTTATTTCTACAATATAATAGGCTTATTCTACAAACGACATAAATGGCATAAGAAATTATCGCTTTAAAAAACTTTTAAAATTTACCTTTTAGGTAGGTACGGCTAACAAAATCATTGATCACCTTTTAGGATGTTTACTGTTAAAAATACATGACGTGTGCCTTCAACGAATTTAATTAAATGAAATTAAACATTTTATTATTAAGGTAAAAGATAGCGATATACGGCTCTTCACCCCTTTTCTCAGGAGCGCGATAACAAATTTTTGAGTTTTTGAAAGAACTATTTACCTACAAAAGTTTGTACGGAACCGTTGAGCTGGTCCGACTCGCACCTTCTTATGATAACCTTAATATCCCTCTCCATCATCATCATTCACCACTACGAACTTTAGAAGAGACACAAAGTAATCCAAAAGTGATCAATATTTTTACAACACTACCGTACCTCTGAATATACTTTGGTCTCCTGATTTAGGTGTAAGCTCTAATACTGAAGCGATTGTGTGAAGCTTTATATCACAATAAATAACTACAGTAAGTTTGTTCTTAACTTTAATACATCTAGCTTGTATAGTAAAAATGCATTACCGTGGATTACAAATAACTTAGAATTTAGAATCGAGATCCAAATGAGAATTTCTTTGGGTGCCCTGGCTACATCATTTAATTTGCTTCTATTAAATGAAAAGAACAGGAGGAAAAACTGTCATACAGAAATTGAGTTACTTATTTTTACTTATTTTATAATAACAGCTTTCAAAAGGACTGCGCCTGTGTTAAAAAAACAAAGGTGAATCTCAAAAAACACCCAAGTCTGTGAAATCCTCATTTCCCTTAAAACTGAACATTGTTAACGCTACAATATTTTTAGCACCATCTTATAAATAGAAACGTCCCAAAGCAAGCGTTAGTTTAAATTATCTTAATTTATTAAGGACTGATTTTTCAACCGTCAAAGATTCGACGTTTATTCACCGAAATAGTGTGGTACACATCGTCAAAATATAGTAGTCAAAAAGTTCGCAACACGTCTTTATTACAATTGGAATAAGGTTGTGTTTTGAACTTTTTGGCCACTTCGGGTGTCACAAACTATTTGACGCTGCTGTACAATATAATGTGGTTTTATGTTAAAGAGAAGTGCAGCTTATCTCACCAGCGCAGCTGGCATATGAACTTGTGCAAAATTATAATATCTTTTTTCTGAAGGTCGTCGGATATCTCTTAACTGAAGAATAAACATAATTATTTCTTCAGATGCATCTTGGCCACATACATCGTGATGACCCGAAGATTCGATCACGATGTGTGTGGCCCAGGGGCTATCCGATTGAAAAATTAGCCCTAAAAGTTGGTCCACAAGAAAATTGCTCCCTTATTGTGAAGAAGGTTAATACAATAGAATCTTTTGGATGCAATCTGGTATAATGTGCGGGATTTTATACACACTCGCGTTCATTTTTGACTCTGCTACAAGCTCCGTTTAAATGATCACTCCTATATACCTAGTAATATCGAGACTGCGAAAAATTAAATGAATAGTCCTCATCATAAAATATTCAATGCTTATAACTAGGCACTAAAATAAAACTATTATACAAAATCGATTACGGCTTAGTGACTAAAATATTGACTGATTTATGTTATTAAATAATCAAAATAGTTTGGTTAAGTCAAGAAATATTTTATAACATCATTTTGATCAAATATCTAATTTGCTTTATTAAGCTCATTTTCCTATTTCCCTAATGAATGTTTAAAATATGAATTCAGGCCATGGAAAATCTCAAAATAATTTCGACACAATATGTAAATGTTTATTTAACAGAAATTGCTAGATTAAATGAAACTACAATGTGTCACGTGCTGTATCGTACGCGTAACTGTGATTGCATGTTATTTATTTTGCGACGTATCTACTATACGCGCTTATTCTGGCAAAAACATTGAATGATCATATTTTGAGAAGATTAGGGGAATGTACTAACGTTCTATGAACCGTATTTTGAGTTGAAAGCCAAGTACACAACGAACGATTGATACCTACATATTTATCTTGATCATGTAGTATGATAATCTAAGCTTTTCCTCGTTAGCCGTGCTTTTATTTTGCCGTGCCGTGCACATAATAGGCTAGTTTCCTAAAAAAATTTTAGTCCGTAAATTTTAATATCAAGAAATATTGGACACGTATATTTTTAATTGTCAATCAAACACATAATTACAAAGTTATCGTGCATTGAAGTTCCGCGCGACGTCACAAAGTGCTGCAATTTTAAGCACTCATTGACGTCACGGGCCTCTTCTTTTGAACTTTGGCGCGCTGTATCTCTTTAAATTTTCATTAGTTTTAAAAAGTGAAAAATAGGTGTCGAGTATTTTTTGATAAGTTAACTGACGGACTAATTAAAACTCTTGCTTTTTAACCCAGGAAACATCCCTATTTTAATTTAGTTTCCTCTCACGCCATGTGAGTCAATGGACGATGGCGGTGGTGTGATCCACGAGGAACATAGTTTTCGTCTATGGGTGAGTTTCGCGATGGTAGATTGCGTTAAGACAGTGGCGTTGGTAAATTCAGGGTGTGAGGCAGGCGGGCGCGCGCGCCGGCGCCACGGGCGCAGACAGCAGCTCCCCACCGCTCTCGGTGATGGCCACCGACTTGTGGTAGCTTATGAGATCAGCTGCAACAGAATGGCCCTGCTTAGAACATTTACAAAACTGAGGGACTGGACATAATTGTGTTAAAATTAAAATTCACTCTCGCATGAAAAGGTCCGGATTATAATGTTCGGGAAAGACAGCAGCAGACAGTGAATTCAAGCCCCTGGCGTTTCGCATTTATATACGAGTTATCGAAACGCTTAGTGCTAGCTGGTGGAATGTCGACAATGTAGGGATGATGGTACGCTACTGCGTCTGATTCCTCTGGTGATGGAAGGCTGTTGGAATTAGATCGTGTAATTCTTTCGCCCATTCTCCGAAGTGTAGCCTGTATAAAACCGTTAGAGATGCTACTTTACGGTGGTTGTCAAGTTCCTAGAGCGACGCTTCAACAAGGGTCGGGCTGTCAAAAATAGTCATGGAAAATACCTAAAGTCTGATGAGTGATTTGTCCAGCGCCGAGCAGGCGGTACCCCGCCGCCGTTTCGACCAGGTAGTGTTTGCAGCGAGCTGGCTCGCGGTACGAGATCGCGTAGCCCCACACCCGCTCGGAGATGCGCACGAGGAAGCTGCCAGTCGGCTGCCCCGCCAGCAGCTGCTCCGCTTCCGATCTGGTGATCAGACCTGGGGGACGGACGGTGATTTTCACAGATGGCTGATTCAAAATGGGGAGGTTGACAGTTCGTTTTTGACTTTAGAGTCTAGATCAGGGGTCTCCAAGCAACGGCCCGCGGGCCATATCCGACCCGCCACTGTCATCAATCCGGCCCGCGACAGCTTAAGACTATGACGTTTGCATAGGTGGACAGAAAAATTAAAATTTTTATGGCCCTTGCAACATACTGAAAAAAATATTATGGCCCCAAGGCTTCAAAGTTTGGACTACATACTTTTAGTCGGTCGATAGTTGGGCCCGATTCTAATTTGTATGAAGAATCGACCGATCAATTGAGAAATCCCCATTTACTACTGAAAGAATGTGCGCACTTTTATACATGTCCACAGTGATTACCATCCCAACTATCGTCCGACAAAAAACTAGGCTTAGAAATAAAACCATCTTCTTCTATTCACAACATTTCTGCTTTTATCTCCAATCTATGTTTAACCGATGTTACTTTTACTTATTTACAGTATCACAAAGTGATCCCTCACCATGGAACCAATCCACTGGCTTATTATCCTCGTCCAGCCCCACGCCGCGCATCAGCTCCTGCGTCCGGAACCATTCTATGACTGCTTCTCTGTTGGGCGGCTTGCCCGCTGCAATAGAATAACATTGACAGCATAATATTATAAAAATGTAGTTGAAGGCATATGACAGTTGCTAATCGAAATCATGTGCATGTGGATTGAGTAATCCTTTTTTTTTATGTGACAGGAGGCAAACGAGCAGACGGATCACCTGATGGTAAGTGATTACCGTCGCCCATAGCAGACCCAGCGGCGTTACAGGTGCGTTGCCGGCCTTTAAGGTGAAGATACGCTCTCTTCTTGAAAGCTTGCAGGTCGCATCCGTCCGGAAACACCGCAGACGACAGTCCATTCCACAGTTTGGTTGTACTTGCTTCAATCTTAACAAAAATTGAGGAAGTTTTAGTTAACTAAAATATGTTAAAACATTGCGGTGAAGTAAAAAAAAATTGTTGATTGTTGAAGCAAGAATGACTCAATCCACACTATTCCACATGCACATTTGAAATCACCTTTACCGCGTGCATTAAATGCTCTTAACCGTTCTTGGACGTACGAGTATTGGACCAAATCATGTGACGTATATTCAAAGGGGTGGACCATTTACGTGAACTAATCGTTTCTAACCAAGTGTGTATGTATCTTGAACTTTTAGAGCGGCCGATAGTTTAGTCGGGCAGTTTGATCAGTATGGGCATGTATGGAAGTGCGCACACTACGCCGATTCGATTTGGCCGATTCTTCATCCCAACTAATATTATAAATGCGAAAGTAACTCTGTCTGTCTGTCTGTCTGTTACGCTTTCCCGCTTAAACCTCGCAACCGATTTTGATGTTTGGCATAGAGTTAATTAGTAAGATAGTTTGAGTCCCAGGAAAGAACATAGGATAGTTTTTATCCCGGTTTTTGAAACAGGGACGCGCGCGATAAAGTTTTTCTGTGACAGACAAAATTCCACGCGGGCGAAGCCGCGGGCGGAAAGCTAGTACAAAATAAAATCGGGCCCAACTATCGGCCAACTAAAAATTAACGGTGTGCGCCTACTCTTATTCTTCGGCTTGGTGGCTAAGGTACGGAAGACAGCACATCAAACTAAACAAAGTCTTATCTCGTCGTAATACAGGCTGTTTTGCTTACTCTGCGGCTGCTCGGGCGGGTCGCAAGTGACGTGCGCGCTGAGCCGATGCGCCTCCCGCGCGGCGCGCGCAATCTCACGCATGGCCGCCTCCGCCTCCTTCGCTTTGCGTTCTGCCAACAATATCACACATTATAAACTTTGCTTTTTATCTGCAACAAGGTCACAAAACTACTACAGGGATTGCACATACTATTTCAGTAACTTAACGCTTCAGCTGGGTGACTGTTGGTGCCACGATATTCAAAATTTTAAAACCATAGGGCACTTGATTTTTCTGATTTTTCATTGTTTACTCGATGTGTATTTGTTTTCCCGTCCATCTCGATTTCAATTCAAAGTGCAGCATTTGAGCTAAGTAGCAGCATCATCGTCATTTGCGTGGACCTGCGCGTGCGCATCGCTCAGAGTCCCGTCCCTCCGCGCCCTGATGCCATGTACAGTGCATCATGTTTCGGAGAGGAGTGACTTCATCGTCGTGCACGTTGAGCTGCGCGTCACTAAGAGTCTTCGCTCTCCACGCCCTAATGCTCCTCAGTATTTCCCCCATCCTGGCACTCAGCCATCTGAGCTGGTCAACTGAACAACTCACCCTGCTCCCGCCAAGCGGCGTCGTCATCATGCGCGTGGAGCTGCGCGTCCCTTAGAGTCCGCGCCCTCCTCGCCCTAATGCCCCACAGTATGTACCCTGCCCTGACCCAATTCAATCGCAGCATTTGAACTGAACAGCTAAACAACTCACCCTGCTCCCGCCAAGCGGCGTCGTCATCGTACGCGTGGAGCTGCGCGTCTCTTAGAGTCCGCGCCCTCCTCGCCCTAATGCCCCGCAGTATGTCCCCCGCCCTGGCCATCTACACTCAGCCATTCAAGCTGATCTGTCTACAACTTACTCTGCTCCCGCCAAGCGGCGTCGTCGTCGTGCGCGTGGAGTTGCGCTTCTCTCAGAGTCCGTGCCCTCCGCGTCCTAATGCCCTGTAGTATATTCCCGCCCTGCTCATGGACCCTCGGCCATTCAAGCTGATCTGTCTACAACTCACCCTGTTCCCGCCAAGCGGCGTCGTCATCATGCGTGTGGAGCTGCACTTCTCACCCTGCAGTGTGTCCCACTTGGCCATTCGAGCTGATCAGCTGAACACTACTCTGATTTTTGTCGTTGTCGTCGTGCGCGTGCGAATTCCTCAGAGTCCTAACCCTCCGCACCCTGATTCCCCGCAGTATGTCCCCAGTCTACAACTCACCCTGCTCCCGCCAAGCGGCGTCGTCGTCATGCGCGTGGAGCTGCGCATCCCTCAGAGTCCGCGCCCTCCACGCCCTAATGCCCCGCAGTATGTCCCCCGCCCTGGCCATCTACACTCAGCCATCCAAGCTGATCTGTCTACAACTCACCCTGTTCCCGCCAAGCGGCGTCGTCGTCGTGCGCGTGGAGTTGCGCTTCTCACCCTGCAGTGTGTCCCACTTGGCCATTCGAGCTGATCAGCTGAACACAACTCACCCTGCTCCCGACAAGCGGCGTCGTCGTCATGCGCGTGGAGCTGCGCGTCTCTCAGAGTCCGTGCCCTCCGCGTCCTAATGCCCTGTAGTATATTCCCGCCCTGCTCATGGACCCTCGGCCATTCAAGCTGATCTGTCTACAACTGACACTGCTCCCGCCAAGCGGCGTCGTCATCATGCGTGTGGAGCTGCACTTCTCACCCTGCAGTGTGTCCCACTTGGCCATTCGAGCTGATCAGCTGAACACTACTCTGATTTTTGTCGTCGTCGTCGTGCGCGTGAAGCTGCGCGTGCGAATTTCTCAGAGTCCTAACCCTTCGCACCCTGATTCCCCGCAGTATGTCCCCAGTCTACAACTCACCCTGCTCCCGCCAAGCGGCGTCGTCATCATGCGCGTGGAGCTGCGCGTCCCTAAGAGTCCGCGCCCTCCTCGCCCTAATGCCCCGTAGTATGTCCCCGCCCTGGCCATCTACGCTCAGCCATTCAAGCTGATCTGTCTACAACTCACCCTGCTCCCGCCAAGCGGCGTCGTCGTCGTACGCTTGGAGCTGCACTTCTTACCCTGCAGTGTGTCCCACTTGGCCATTCGAGCTGATCAGCTGAACACTACTCTGATTTTTGTCGTTGTCGTCGTGCGCGTGCGAATTCCTCAGAGTCCTAACCCTCCGCACCCTGATTCCCCGCAGTATGTCCCCAGTCTACAACTCACCCTGCTCCCGCCAAGCGGCGTCGTCGTCATGCGCGTGGAGCTGCGCATCCCTTAGAGTCCGCGCCCTCCTCGCCCTAATGCCCCGCAGTATGTCGCCAGCCCTGGCCGCGGCCACCCGGCGCTCCCACGCCGCCACGCGGTTGCTGACCCCGTCGCCATTGTTTGGGATGCCCAGATCCTGTAAAATACAGAACAACAACTTCTTCAATACTTGAGGCGATAGCCCAACAGTGTCGATTTCGGTCGGCTGACTCATGATCCGAGGAACGCTGGTTTCCCAAAACCGTACGAAATGGCATAAGATCAAAGTCATAGTCAAAGCTTCTATTCAGTACTTAGGTCCTTTCCAGGGCGCTTACAAAAATCCTAAATATAGCTTGCCTTACTACCTCTTCGGGACAACACATATGGGCTGGTGCTGAGAGTAAGTGGCGGAACCAACTCGGTCACCTTAATCAGGTCACAAAATAATTAGGAAGCAGCTTCCTCAAAGAAAAGTGAATAGCACAAACATACCTGTAGTACATCTCGTTTGCCCTCGATAAAGTTGAAGTGCAAGTTGTTGTTCAACTTGGGGTCCGCGTAGTCCGGCTTCTCGCGGAGCTTCAGCGTGGTCTTCTCCGCCATCGGCACCTCGGGCTCCAGCGCCGAAATCCGCTGACGCAGCTCCTCAACTGTGCAGTACATCTCCAGGCTGTCCTCTAACGGGTCTATGCTCTTTGGAGATAGGTCGAATTTCTGGAAACAAGAATATATCTTCTTAGATACACTAAACGGCATGATATACAGAACATTGGTGACAGATGGTGATTGAGGAGTGTTCAGCTGGGAACTGGACGTTGAAACGACTATGACTCTTATTAGGATATGCTAGACGTTCAGAATTCAGGAACCGGCCTAGCTATCCAGCAGTGGGTGTGGCTAAATCGCAAAGCCAACGACTGCACTGGGTCAGAAAAGTTCTTCGGTGGCGAAGTATCGTACCGACGATCTGGTTGCGGGAAGTACCTGGATGCGAGCAGCTCAGGACCGGTTGTTGTGGAAAACCTTAGGGGAGGCCTTGGTCCAGCAGTGGACGTCTTTTGGCTGAAACGAACGAGATGATCATCACTTACCATAAGGTGAGATACAGGCCAATAGCTTCCTCGTTGTGGATAAAAAAATGTTCAAGTGGCTGACCTGCTCCAATCACTTATCGGCTCGAGCGGCTTATAGTCGATGAGCTGCGGGAGCTCTTTCTCCACAGACTTACGGAGCTGCCACGCCTCCTGCACCTGGATGCTCCGACAGGATGCTCTCATCAGGATGTCCTAGATACTCAGGTAACTGACCTGCTCCAGGCTGTCGAGCGGCTTGTAGTCGAGCTGCGTTAGCTCCTTCACCATGGACTTGCGGAGCATAAACACCTCGCGCGCGTCCTGCGCCAGGATGCTCTCATCAGGATGTCCTAGAATCCGAAATGTTCAGGAAGCTGACCTGCTCCAGGCTGTCGAGCGGCTTGTAGTCGATGAGCTGCGTTAGCTCCTTCTCCACGGACTTGCGGAGCTGGTGCGCCTCCTCGCGTGCTTGAGCCAGCGCCCGCTGCCGCGCCTCCTCGGCCAGGATGCTCTCAATCGACTTGTCGTCCGCGTGCTCGCCCATCACCCACACCTGGAATGACAAGGCTGGATACAGAACTAGAACAACAGAATATTGTCTTTTTCATCTAAGATGATCTCTGTGACGTTTCGGGTTTGATATTTGAATCTTATCGATTTCGAAAAATCTATAGATATCCCTATCGATTTTTCTAGGAGTCAAGAGAGACAAACAGGCATGACGAAACTACATATAAAGGGTTACTCAATGTCGTCAACAAATGGTGGCCGGTGTACAGAATGCGCGAGCACTCACAGCTCGTTCGTGAATCCCTTGTATTACGCGTGTTTTGTTTTCGATGCCTACTCGCTAAACAGGCCTGTTAGAACTTAGAACTAAAGGAATGTATAGTTGTACAACACTGTAGCTGTAGTATCTCAGATATTAAATTGATAGAAGGGCTCTACTAACAACTTAAAACAGGGTTGTTACAGTTGTTAGTTCTGATTTTTTACCACTTGACGTTTCAGAGTAGTATTGTTCGGTCAAAAAAGGAAAAGGTCAATAATTTTGCTGTTCAGTGTCAAACAGAAGCAAATCATTAACCTTGCAAATACGAAGTGTACTTAAGAAGGTCAAGATCAGCTTTTAATTATATCTTTACAATCTTTTTGTATTTTACAATCCGTAGGTGTTACTTAAATTTTATTGTTATGGACTAATCTATCTTGATGATGATTTAACGGAGTAACGACAGTTGAACTTTAAAATAAGTTAGTTTCTTGATCTTGAAATACCTAAATGATATAAAGACAAAAGCAGTCACAGCTTCTTATTTTAGGTAAATAAAAAGGCCCAATAGGTACTTGACATTGAATGTTATAAAAGAAGTGCAAAACTGGGTCAAAATCGTGTTTACTTGAGGTGTTGTAATATGCGAAACATTACTTAAGTTTATTATTCTACTCGTAATTATAGCAACTTATTAAATTTTACGAGCTTAACAAATAAGTAGTTAGTTTTAACGACTCATATTAATAATGAAGGTGATTCTGTACCCCGAACACGAATAACCCTTGTAATGGTATAGTAGTAGTGTTCCACGACCATAGCGGCGCTGTTCTGATTTAGTCTGTTATTCAAAATTCGTGCTCGGGGTTCTGTGTTTATGCCCACTGACCCTCTGATCATCAAAGGTAAAGTTTTGTTCCTAAGGGCCTCTGCTAAAACTCTTGCAAACAAAACCACCTGCCCGCGTTTAATTACTTAGTATTCATTATAAACACATAGCTCACAGAGCTGATGGCCGCTGGCGCAGAAAATTTCTCAAGTGGCGACGTATTTAGTGTGGGCAGGCCTCCCACTAGGTGGACTGACGATCTGGTGAAGGTCGCGGGAGGTGCCTGGATGCGGGCGGCGCAGGACTGGTCGTTTTAGAAATCCTTGGGGGAGGCCTTTGTCCGGCAGGGAACGTCATTTCGTCGCTTGCCTCTCTAACTGACGTAACTGACATTTTGCAAAATTTTCAGGCGATTAGACAGATCGATTCGTCTTGCGAAATTGATTAAGATGGTGTAGATAACTCAGTTTTGAAAAAATGACAGATACGTCAGTTAGAGAGGCAATCGACGATTTGGCTGAAATGAACGAACAATAAACTCAAGTATACTAACCCAGGGCTCACCGTCTTCTCCCTTCAGAAATTGAACCTGTTTCTTCCCGTTCTTTTGGTTCTGGAACTTGGGTCGGTCGTCTTCTTTGCTCACTTTTTGGTCCCAAATCTGCCATCGACGCACCTGAAATAGAACAAGATCGTTTAAGATGCCATATTACTCGTATATAGTCCATGTTTCTATGAACAATCACAGAATCACAGCTGCTAGTGGGTTATGTCTACGTAACTCTAGTTTTCCCAGAGGGACAGGGTCTATCACTAAAAACCTATTTATTAGCCTATGTTCGCATGATTCCAGCTTTATCCTTCACGTCTTCGCTTTTAAATCCAACTTTAATTGTTTATGTAAGTATTAGATCATAATACCTTTTCTGTGTTTTGGTAAATATGGAGTTATTTCTGTATTTAGTTCTTTGTTAAGCTCCTGTTAAAATGCGCATCAATGAGTTATCAAGAACGCCCTCTCTTTCAAAGTGTTCCTTTTGTTTATCCAGGCACATGCCAAAGGCTGACTCACGTGGTAGGCGCTCCACAATTGCCTCGTTAAGCGTGTTTGCTCTGCTACAAAAGGAAGTAGGGGAACATCCATCAGTCAGCGTCACAATGATTCACGGCTGTGATTACTTGTGTCATAGAGCTGGCACCAAAAACGCGTGGAAAACTTTTGGAGATTAGAGTCTCTTAAGCCGGTTCCAGAGTTTGTATTTCAAGTCTGGTTAATGTAACGGTTAGTGAACCTCATTTTAGCTAGGACAATTGATAGGATTTGCTTACAAACACCACCGAGATTGTTCGTAAATTGGTCCCACCGAAAGTATGTCTAGTCTCTTATACATGGTGGAATTTTGTAATGTCATTTGATCTATCAAGTTTGTTTGAGAGATTTCATCTTTATACTTAACCCTAATGATCGATGCAATAAAAATACAGGGTGTAATTTTTAACATATTTTAGTTAGTTCGATTTCCGGGTGTAGCAAGCAAATTTTTGTAAATCTTTGAATGCAGTTCTATTTCTTTTAAAAAATAAAGGAATGTTTTGTTTGAGTAAAATGTTCTATTTACAGTATTAAGAGCACTTTCCCTTCAGGTGGCATTACAAAATTCCACCCTGTATATTTTGACTAGATACAGAAACTCTTACCTGATGCCCTAGCCCAATTTTCTTGCACCAGGGTCTTTGCCTAGATACACCTTTACAACCCGGTGGAGTTAACTGCTCACCTAGCGGCCATGACGTCACATCGACGCTCTGGATCATGCGAACAGAGGGTAAGGACCAGGTGAACGCGGGAAGGAGTGCAGTGTGCAGGTAAGTGCGAGGGAGAGTCGCATTCTAGCGAGGAGCGCAGGGCCATTGCGCTTATTTGTAATGTCTCCAATCGTTAGCTTTTCATCTCCAGTCTACGCTCTAGTCACACTTCAATTTTCAATCCAGCTGATGTGCAATTCGGTATCGCGGTAAAGTTCACGCGCAAACAAAGATGAAACATTTAAGCACTTTCCATTAATAGTTCGACGAACACCTTTTTTTGTTTCCTAACACAGCAAATGTTCGTGAAGCGTTTGACTTGCGTTTGTAAAGTAGCTTTTTGTAGTTTCTGTCAGCTTTTACACAAAGACAGTTGCGTTCCGTTTACGTACAGCTTCGTTTGAACTAGCTGTCAAAGTGACACCGCGATACGAATTTGTGCGAACAGCTGATTTTCGTTTGTCGTCCAGCCGCTTGCAGTTAAAAATATTTAGCGCAATCGAGGCGCAGTTAGCTCGATCGGGTTGTACCTAGCTAATGAAACTTTGTACTGCTGGTGACTATTTGTCTCTTTCTCACCTGTTCCTCGCGCATCTTGCAGAACAGCGTCTGCTTCTGCGTCTCGTCCAGCTCCGCGAGAATTTCGGGGTCCACCCACATGTCGCGCAGGATTTGCTGCAACATGGCGCCGCCCCTGCAACAACGAAAACGTAAGCTATTTTTATGTGAAATAGAGTCCAATATCATATAACAACAAAGTAAGAATATGATAGATATGTTCTGTTGTACAGATCGGAGTCTATCAACAAATCCCTTTGTTTTGCGCGACCTTTTGCGCGAAATATTAGCAACATTATTTCTGAGCTAATCTTCCTTGTGAACTAATTTAAAGAAACATAGTCCGATAAATAAAATGCTCTTATTTAAAACGAATATTGTTCATCAGTCATTAACCAAACTGTAATTTATAACCAAACTCTGACAACTTGTGTATGTAAAGACGGTGTCTCAATTTTTTGACAATCTAACTCAGTCGACAGTCCAGCTCTTCTACCACTGATACACGGAGGCGTACCTAATCAAGAGTAATTTCAGTGTACTAAGTAGTTCCTGTGAAAGCAAAAGTGCACAATGAGGGTAAGTGCTTATTGACCGTCAATTTCCGTAAACCTGGTGTCGGTCGACCAGTTCTGGTGATGGCCCATAATTGGTGCAGTTAGTTACATATTCAAGCATCGATGTTGTCCCTGGTATGAACATTGCCTTAGCACTTACCATTCCTGCATTATTTCCGTATGGGTAATGCCATAGCGTACCTACTGGGCGACCTTACTATAAACTACTATCGAGAATGCAAAAAATCCGGTCATTCGCTATCTTAGAGCTGACGAAATGGCTTAGAAATAAGAGTAGACTGGATGCTTAATTGCAAACCAAGTCTTAATCCACTCCACAACTCAATTTTGAAATATTTCATTAAAATTGTTATAGAGATCGTCTATCTATGCTTTGACTGACGGAATTGATGAACTTGCCTAAATTGTGGAAGCCTGGCTGTAGTTTAAAACATTTTAACTGTCTCAAATAAATTCAAATTTCGTTCGTTTCAGACAAATGACGTCACTGATGAACAAAGGCCTCCTCCAAGGATTTTCACAACAACCGGTCCTGCGCCGCCCGCATCCAGGTTCTTCCCGCAACCTTCAGCAGATCATCGGTCCACCTAGTGGGAGGCCTGCCCGCGCTACGTCTTCCACGTTAAACTAATACTTAAATCATCAACGTATTCATTAATGTTTTAAAACAATTCTTCTTTCGTGACGCAACGTAACCGACACCAAACAGAGCAGTGAAAGTAAGTGGCTGTAAGTAGTCATAATATCAACACAAAATCACCGTAACATTGTTTGGAATCTTTTTAACAACACAGATCGCTTTACTTCCCTCGTGTTACTGGTTTTTGGTTTGGATAAAGACTCCATTATAAATAGGCGTATAATTATAGTTCAATAAAGACTTTTCAATCGATTATCATCAGATCATTTTAATAAAAGTGTTATTATCACGCAATAGCCATTGTCAATTACTGATTAAAAAAAGAAATGGGACCTATTCTTCCTAACTCTACAACTCCTTTGAAGAATATTTAACTGTCTTTCGTTCGTTCGTTTCAGCCAGATGACGTCCACTGCTAAAAAAAAGGCCTCCCCCAAGACTTTCCATAATGAACGGTCCTGCGCTGCCTGTATCCAGGTTCCTCCATTAAATATCTTTAGACACGCAAATTATCCAAAAGAAAACAGCAGGAGTTAGAGTAGGAAGTTCAACTTCTCTCAAATCCAATTCCATGACAAAATAAAGGCTGAAAAGAATTTAGAGTTTTACTACAGATAACAAGCTGTGGACTTTATAATTACTAATACCGGAGTGTTATAAAGACTATCCATTTCACGGATCATTTACGTCGCTGACCTCCGACATAAAAATTGACCACCCAACTTCAAATCATCCATTCATATTAAATGGCATTCAATTCATTCTTACAGTAAACGTCAGTAGCTAATAATAATGTTCGTTTGGTTTGACAAAGATTAACCTGTTTTTTATATAAAAACTAGCTGTGCTCGCGACTTCGTACGAGTGAAAATAGATTGAACAATATTAATTCCCGTTTTTTGCAACATTTTTCTCAAGTACTCCGCCACTATTTGGCTATAGGGTCATAATATTGAATATCTCGATAAATCGGCTATCCAACACATTGTATAGAGAACAATAGTGTCTAGACAAACCTAAAGAGGATTTAGGACGCTATTTGGATCAAATACGTAATTGCTCAATAATGAATAATAAAAAATAAAAAATAAACACAAAAAACGACTTTTCAAATCGGACCAGTAGTAGTTCCTGAGATTAGCGCATTCAAGCAAAGTAACAAACTCTTCAGCTTTATAATATTAAAATAATAATACACCTAGATAAATAGGCCTTTATAGCAGAGTGTAGGACCACTCCCATTCTTTTTGTGAGAGGTGACTACGGGACAGAACGTGAGCATCAGGCCACCCCAGCCCACCTGGCCAGCCAGAGTATAGGCCAATCCTTCATTTGCTTCTGGTAAATTAGAGAGTTGATTTGTACCTTAGATTAGTACCTACGTCATCATCATCAACAGCCCTTTACAGTCCACTACTGGACTATGAGCCTCCTCCACTATAGTGGAGGGTTTTGCCATAATCCCCACGCCTGGCAGGCGGGTTGGAGATCGCAGTTTAAAAGATTGATGTTTTTCAGAGAGCGCTGCTGCCCGTTCTCTGTTTGATGTGTAGTCCCTAAGTCGCCTCTTACGACACCCGCGGGAAGAGTAGGGGTTGGTGACAAATGTATTCTACTCTGCCGTCACCACACGGCACCTACGTCATATCATCACGTTACTAACATACTAACAGAAACTTTGCCCATTCAAAGAAAGAACCAGTTTACAGGCATGATCGTAATTTCCTTTGAAAGCAACGAATCGTTCTAAGAAATCCGAACAGCAACGTTCCGCGGCTGCGCGAGTTTGGAATGTCAACTACAGGATCGGCGCGCGCGCAACAGGCATACATAATTCATCGTGTACCTACGACAGTTCTATTACATCAGCCAACTCATTTAGATCAATATTATAATATGGTGTATGAAATTAATTTTAAAATTGAAAGCATTTACCTGACCTAGGGTAAGCAGCAGGTACAAAATAATAAACTGCATTGAGAGTTTATTTGTCTTATGTCCATTTTCACCATCAATCCCTAATTTTAAGTGACCCCTATGGTAACATATAATAGGAATTTTGTATTCAAAGAGATCACTTAAAATTAGGGTTTAGTGGTGAAAACGGGCATTAAATCCAGTTGCCCATCAAAATAGGTAATTTCTGAAAAACATCGTCCATAGTCCATCAAACTAGAAGATGTCTAATACATATTTAACGTATGTTAGTGACCAAACACATTGTTCTTAATCTTTAAAAATTAAACCAATCTAGCAAAATATAGTAGGTAATATTGAACTTTGAAAAGCTCTTCTCACTTAGCTATGACAAAAGCCAAGTCCTGTGCTTTGAAAGCACAATGCATACAAACTACGCCGCGTAGATATAAGGCATGACTGAATCTATTATACATTTGTGTTGCAAGATACATAGTTATCGTCAATCATAGCCTATCATAGCGTATATCTGATTTGCACCATAGACTAGCATCGGTGTTGTCTTTTCTTGTCTATGCTTTACATTATGAATATTATTAAAAAAAATATCCATAAAAAAGTTTGTGGTTATCACTTATTAAATCTCCTAATCGTTTTAGTTGAACGCTGTTAATATCCAGTAGTAATAATAAGTATTGTTTATTAATATACTTAGATAAGCATGAATCATTTTTATCACTGCTATAATAAGATTATTCGAGCCATAAACTTGTAATTATCTTTATTCTTACTCATTTATTTCCTGCAAGACTATTTTTGTACAAAACAATGACACAATGATCGAAATAATAATGATAATACAATGATCAAAATGATATTTAATTATGCTCAAAAGAGAGGTAAAAGCGTTTGTTACAACACCTGCAATTACATCTAATAAAAGGATATATACAGGGTGTAGATAGAATTGACTGACAACTATAACGCTGAGTTGCACTACCTAACCGTAACTTTAACGAAGCGGTGTTTTGTATGTAGTTTGACAGCATACTTAATGCGGTCTGCGGTCAGGTCAAAGTAATCATACATTCTACGGGCATTTATTATTATAAAGAACTATGTAGATACATCCGTGAATGTAGAGTTCAACACGTACCACTTTTACAGTCTTATCTCAGTCAATTCTGCGTCAAACCCATATTATGTATGTTAATTAGTAACATTTTTCACAATTCCAAACACCCTGTATTCTAATACTTGCGCGGGCGCAGTCGTGCGGGCTGCCACAGTCGTGACGCGCGTTGCGACAGACAGAGGGATAATGCCGAGGACTTGCAGTGAAGGTGAAACAAATGCCAGGTTGCCAGCCTACGCTGATCTGAACCAACTTGCATCTGTGTGCTTAACGCGAGTTTACATTAAACGTCATCGCTAGCGACTGCGTAAAAAAATTACATGAAATCCAGCGTCTCTAGCGGATACTTTCAAGAACAGTTCTTCATAGAGTTTTGACGGGCTCGCTAGCGATGACGTTTAATGTAAACTCGCACTAAGGACACTTGCTTACGTTTGTGAATCCATTGCTTAAACTCCCCGCAGACTTCAGACGTTTTGTCGGCCGATAGTTTGGTCGGGTTGCAATTTGTATGAGGAATCGGCCGATACGAAATCACAGGTAAAGTCACGGAAAATAGCTAGTATTTCAGTGCTTATCTCCCCATTAGTCAGGCTTCATAAGCTTCATTATCTTTTGTAGTAATAGTTAAAGACAATATTTATGCATGAAACCTTATTCCGGTTTTGTAATGCAGTTTTTTCTACTAACATACGAGTTGTGCTAGAAAACAAGGATATAACCTTGGCTGTTATCATGGAAAGTAGAGTAAAACATAACGGTTCTCTATAGTGTGCAACTGTTTCTTACCTAAACTGGAGCATGTCAAGAAAATTGCCCATATAATTGTCTATAAAGACGTTACGGACGATAACGCGTCTCATAAC